ACCTTCCCTCCATACCAGGCAACATCCTGGTAAATCTCCTCTGCACCCTTTCCAATGCTTCCACATCCTTCCTATAATGCGGTGACCAAAGCTGTACGCAATACTCGAAGTGCGGCCGCACCAGAGTTTTGTACAGCTGCAACATGACCTCATGGCTCCAAAACTCAATCCCTCTACCGATAAAACCTAACATACTGTACGCCTTCTTAACAACGCTATCAATCTGGGTGGCAACTTTCAGTGATCTATGCACATGGACACCAAGATCTTTCTGCTCATCCACACTACCAAGAATCTTACCAATAGCCCAGTACTCTGTATTCCTGTTACTCCTTCCAAAGTGAATCACCTCACACTTTTCCGCATTAAACTCCATTTGCCACCTCTCAGCCCAGCTCTGCAGCTTATCTATGTCCCTCTGTAACCTACAACATCCTTCTGCACTATCCACAACTCCACCGACTTTGGTGTCATCCGCAAATTTACTAACCCATCCTTCTACGCCCTCATCCAGGTCATTTATAAAAATGACAAACAGCAGTGGCCCCAAAACAGATCCTTGAGGTACACCATTAGTAACTGAACTCCAGGATGAACATTTCCCATCAACCACCACCCTCCGTCTTCTTACAGCTAGCCAATTTCTGATCCAAACCGCTAAATCACCCTCAATCCCATGCCTCCGTATTTTCTGCAATAGCCTACCATGGGGAACCTTATCAAACGCTTTACTGAAATCCAAATACACCACATCAACCGCTTTACCCTCATCCACCTGTTTGGTCACCTTCTCGAAGAACTCAATAAGGTTTGTGAGGCACGACCTACCCTTCACAAAACCGTGTTGACTATCCCTAATCAAATTATTCCTTTCTACATGATTATAAATCCTATCTCTTATAATCCTTTCCAACACTTTACCCACAACCGAAGTAAGGCTCACTGGTCTATAATTACCAGGGTTGTCTCTACTCCCCTTCTTGAACAAGGGGACGACATTTGCTAGTCTCCAGTTTTCTGGCACTATTCCTGAAGACAATGACGACATAAAGATCGAAGCCAAAGGCTCTGCAATCTCCTCTCTAGCTTCCCAGAGAATCCTAGGATAAATCCCATCCGGCCCAGGGGACTTATCTATTTTCACACCTTCCAGAATTGCTAACACCTCCTCCTTATGAACCTCAATCCCGTCTCGTCTAATAGACTGTATCTCAGTATTCTCCTCGACTACATTGTCTTTTTTCTGCGTGAATACTGACGAAAAATATTCATTCAGCACCTCTCCCATCTCTTCGGACTCCACGCACAACTTCCCACTACTGTCCTTGACCGGCCCCAATCTTACTCCAGTCATTCTTTTATTCCTGACATACCTATAGAAAGCTTTAGGGTTTTCCTTGATCCTACCTGCTAAAGACTTCTCATGTCCCCTCCTGGCTCTTCTTAGCTCTCTCTTTAGGTCCTTCCTGGCTAACTTGTAACTCTCAAGCGCCCTAACTGAGCCTTCACGCCTCATCTCTACATAAGCCTCCTTCTTCCTCTTGACAAGAAATTCAACTTCTTTAGTAAACCACGGTTCCCTCGTTCGACAACTTCCTCCCTGCCTGACAGGTACATACTTCTCAAGGACACGCAGTAGCTGTTCCTTGAACAAGCTCCACATTTCAATTGTGCCCAGCCCCTGCGTTTCCTTCTCCATCCTATGCATCCTAAATCTTGCCTCATTGCCTCATAGTTGCCTTTCCCCCAGCTATAACTCTTGCCCTGCTTTATATACCGATCCCTTTCCATCGCTAAAGTAAACGTAACCGAATTGTGGTCACTATCACCAAAGTGCTCTCCTACCTCCAAATCTAACACCTGGCCTGGTTCATTACCTAGTACCAAATCCAATGTGGCCTCGCCTCTTGTTGGCCTATCTACATACTGTGTCAGGAAACCCTCCTGCACACATTGGACAAAAACTGACCCATCTGAAGTACTCGAACTATAGCGTTTCCAGTCAATATTTGGAAAGTTAAAGTCCCCCATAACAACTACCCTGTTACTTTCACTCCTATCCAGAATCATCTTTGCAATCTTTTCCTCTACGTCTCTGGAACTTTTCGGAGACCTATAGAAAACTCCCAACAGGGTGACCTCTCCTTTCCTGGTTCTAACCTCAGCCCATACTACCTCAGTAGACTAGTTGTCATCAAACGTCCTTTCTGCCACCGTAATACTGTCCTTGACTAACAATGCCACACCTCCCCCTCTTTTACCACCTTCCCTGATCTTACTGAAACATCTAAACCCCGGAACCTGCAACAACCATTCCTGTCCCTGCTCTATCCATGTCTCCGAAATGGCCACAACATCGAAGTCCCAGGTACCAACCCATGCTGCAAGTTCACCCACCTTATTCCGGATGCTCCTGGCATTGAAGTAGACACACTTCAAACCACCTTCCTGCCTGCCGGTACACTCCTGCGACCTTGAAACCTTATTTATGACCTCACTACTCTCAACCTCCTGTACACTGGAGCTTCAATTCAGGTTCCCACCCCCCTGTTGAATTAGTTTAAACCCTCCCGAAGAGCATTAGCAAATTTCCCCCGCCAGGATATTGGTACCCCTCTGGTTCAGGTGTAGACCATCCCATTTGTAGAGGTCCCACCTACCCCAGAATGAGCCCCAATTATCCAGGTATCTGAATCCCTCCCTCCTGCACCATCCCTGTAGCCACGTGTTCAACTGCTCTCTCTCCCTATTCCTCGCCTCGCTAGCAAGTGGCACGGGTAACAAACCAGAGATAACAACTCTGTTTGTTCTAGCTCTAAGCTTCCGCCCGAGCTCCTTGAATTTCTGCCTTACGTCCCCATCCCTTTTCCTACCTATGTCGTTGGTGCCTATGTGGACCACGACTTGGGGCTGCTCCCCCTCCCCCTTAAGGATCCCGAAAACACGATCCGAGACATCACGGACCCTGGCACCTGGGAGGCAACACACCAACCGCGAGTCTCTCTCGTTCCCACAGAATCTCCTATCTGTCCCTCTAACTATGGAGTCCCCAATGACTAATGCTCTCCTCCTCTCACCCCTTCCCTTCTGAGCAACAGGGACAGACTCTGTGCCAGAGACCTGTACCCCATGGCTTACCCCTGGTAAGTCATCCCCCCCAACAGTATCCAAAACGGTATACTTGTTTTTGAGGGGAATGGCCACAGGGGATCTCTGCACTGTCTGCCTGTTCCCTTTCCGTCCCCTAACTGTAACCCATCTACTTTTTTCCTGTACCTGAGGTGTGACTACCTCCCCGTAACTCCTCTCAATTACCCCCTCAGCCTCCCGAATGATCCGAAGTTCATCCAGCTCCAGCTCCAGTTCCCTAACACGGTTTCCGAGGAGCTGGAGTTGGGTGCACTTCCCGCAGATGAAGTCAGTGGGGACACTAATGGTGACCCTTACCTCCCACATTCTACAGGAGGAGCATACAACTGCCCTAACATCCATTCCCACTGTTCTGAATTCCCAAACAGACAAATTAAAAAAATATATACTAGTAGCCTTACCAAATCAGCACTCAGAACCTTTTTTTTTGGTTAGAGGAGGCGTTTGATAAGGTTCCCCATGGTAGGCTGATGGAGAAAGTGAAGTCGCATGGGGTCCAGGGTGTACTAGCTAGATGGATAGAGAACTGGGTGGGCAACAGGAGACAGAGAGTTGTAGTGGAAGGGAGTTTCTCAAAATGGACAACTGTGACCAGTGGTGTTCCACAGGGATCCGTGTTTGGGATCACTGTTGTTTGTGATATACATAAATGATCTGGAGGAAGGTATAGATGGTCTGATTAGCAAGTTTGCAGATGACACTAAGATTGGTGGAGTAGCAGATAGTGAAGGGGACTGTTGGAGAATGCAGCAGAATATAGCTGGATTGGAGAGTTGGGCAGAGAAATGGCAGATGGAGTTCAATCCAGGCAAATGCGAGGTGATGCATTTTGGAAGAGCCAATTCAAGAGCGAACTATACGGTAAATGGAAAAGCCCTGGGGAAAATTGATGCACAGAGAGATCTGGGTGTTCAGGTCCATTATACCCTGAAGGTGGCAACGCAGGTCAATAGAGTGGTCAAGAAGGCATACGGCATGCTTTCATTCATCAGACGGGGTATTGAGCACAAGAGTTGGCAGGTCATGTTGCAGTTGTACAGGACTTTGGTTCGACCACATTTGGAATACTTCTTACAGTTCTGGTTGTCACATTACCAAAAGGATGTGGATGCTTTGGAGACGGTGCAGAGGAGGTTCACCAGGATGTTGCCTGGTATGGAGGGCACTAACTACAAAGAGAGATTGAATAGATTAGGATTATTTACATTAGAAAGACGGAGGTTGAGGGGGGACCTGATTGAGGTCTACAAAATCATGAGAAGTATAGACAGGGCGGATAACAAGAAACTTTTTCCCAGAATGGGGGATTCAATTACTAGGGGTCACGATTTCACGGTAAGAGGGGAAAAGTTTAAGGGAGATATGCGTGGAAAATTCTTTACGCAGAGGGTGGTGGGTGCCTGGAATGCATTACCAGCGGAGGTGGTAGAGGCGGGCACGATAGCGTCATTTAAGATGTATCTAGACAGATACAAGAATGGACAGGGAGCAGAGGGATACAGATCCTTGGAAAATAGGTGACAGGTTTAGATAGAGGACCTGGATTGGCGCAGGCTTGGAGGGCTGAATGGCCTGTTCCTGCGCTGTAATTTTCTTTGTTCTTGTTATGAATAGGAAGGGCTTAGAGAGATATGGTCCAAATGCTGGCAAATGGGACTAGATCAGTATAGGATATCTGGTCAGCATGGACAAGTTGGACTGAAGGGTCCATTTCCATGCTGTATAACTCTATGGGTCAATGACAATGTATGAAAAGACAAATCTGAATTCCCATAATGAAAAACACTGGTCTTTGCGTTTACACAAAGGGAGACACTCAGTGAACTTGGAGAGGTTGTTTGCAGCAGCACCTTCTTGGCTTGTAGAACCTCATCGGTGGATTTGGAGCGATTCTTAACACTCTGCTTCTGTGGTGAAGTTGTTTCACTCTGGGAGGAAGAATACAAGCAGAGAGACTCATTCAGAGAGATCTTATCCAGTTAGCAGACTCTCTTATATTTTCTCACACAACAGTACAATGATGTACAGCAAACTTTTTGTCAACTGGCACCTACTTGACCCGCAGTGGGCTGGTTAATCAAATAATCCAGATAATCAAGATATATGCACAACCGTAGTAAACCCTAACCAGCAAAGCTTCGACTATTTCGTAATTGCATTTTTGTAAGGATATGAACGCACCTCCTAAAGTCAATGCAAAAACACATAGTAAGTAAAAGAAACATAATGCAGGGGGTGTACGTATCACTGTTGGACTTTTCTTGCAGCAGAAAGACTTGGACATCGCAGTAGATCATTGGAACACAGTGTGGAGCTGGAGAAACACAGCAGGTCAGGCAGCATCAGAGGAGCAGGAAACCTGATGTCTCGGGTCGGGACCCTTCTTCAGAAATGGGGGAGGGGGAAGGGAGCTCAGAAATAAACAGAGAGAGGAGGAGTGGGGCTGGGGAAGGGAGTTGGGATGGTGATAGGTGAGTGCAGGTAGGTAGTGGTGGGGATTGGTCAGTGAGGTGGGAGGAGCGGATAGGTGGGAGAGAAGACGGACAGGTCAAGGAGGCAGGGATGAGAAGGAGGGTTGGTCATGGTATGAGACCGGGGGTGGGGAGATTTTCAAACTGGTGAAATCCATGGTTAGACCTTTGGGCTGTAAGCTCCCAAGGTGCAATATGAGGTGCTGCTCCTCCAGTTTGCGGGTGGTGTCATTGTGACACTGGAGGAGGCCCAGGATGGACATGTCACCCAGAGAGTGGGAGAGGGAGTTGAAATGGTTAGCAGCCAGAAGGTGTTGTCGTTTGTCGCGAACAGAGCGCAGGTGCTCTACAAAGCAGTCTCCAAGCCTCTGCCTGGTCTCACCGATGTAGAGGAGACTACATCAGGAACAGTGGATGCAATCAACCACATTGACAGATGTACAGGTGAACCGCTGACTGATGTGGAAGGTTTTTTTGGTGCCTCGAATGGGAGTGAGGGGTGGTGTAGGGGCAGGTGTAGCACTTCCTGCGGTTGCAGGGAAAGGTGCTCGGGGTTGTGTGGCTCTCTTCGCGACTCCCTTGTCCGCTCCACACTCCCCACTAGCCACCCCCGGAACCTTTCCCTCTGACAACCCTCTGAGCCTATATATGATTCAAAACCTGCTTTTCAAATCCATTCCCTTTTTCTTCTGATGGGTGGCAGCAAAAGAAGAGGAAACTAAGCGATGAATCAAGTAGTGCGGGGACATGCACGAGAATGTTCAGTTAAGTAATGATGAATAAATGTTGGTTAATACACAAATTAAAATTGTACACTCATTATATGCAATTGTGGAGGTGATTGTTTTCCTATACTCCTGCTGTGCTATCTCAGCAATAGAAATAATTCTACACTCGTCACTGAGCTCAGCCCGGTCAGAAAGTAGCTGGCCACAAACTCTACCTGTGACAGACCAACTAAACCTTCAGATCACTCAATCATCCTGTACCATTGCACACTATCAATGACTCAACTCTTCATTCCCACTCCCAGTCTACAGGGTCAGGAGTCACATCATGGTGTCCCTGAAGAGCAGCAGTTTCTGCAAATGGACCAAGTTCCTTTCAACAGGCCCTACCACCTGCTGGGCAGGAAGCCACTCTATGCTGTTTTGTTGGTCATCGAAGCCACTACAGCTCTGAACATTTATGTCACTGTGTCAGTTAAGGTTGCCGCTCAGAGTTTAATATTGCTGCCTCACAGCATCAGGGACCTGGGTTCAATTCCAACTGTTTGTGTGGAGTTTGCACATTCTCCCTGTGTTTGTGAGGGTTTCCTCCCACAGCACAGAGATGCGCAGGTAAGGTGGATTGACCGTGCTAAATTGTTCAGCGTGCAGGCTATATGGATTAGCCATGGGAAGTGAGGAGTGGGTCTGGGTAGGATGCTCTTTGAAGGGAAAAAAAAACTCTCTACATTTTGAGGTGAAAACCCTTCAAAGCGCCAGTGTGGACTTGATGGGCCGAATGGCCTGCTTCTGCACTGTAGGGATTCTATCACTTGGAGAACGGTTTACAGTGGCACATCTGCCCTCTTTGCCAGGGATTCACCTTTACCGTCAGTGATCAGTTGGACAGAGATTTTGTCTTAGCAGCGAATTCTAATTGACTGTACCTACATGACCATCACTAATGGGCAACGACACTTGGGAACAAATAAGCATGTTGATGTGCAACTAGCAGGTTTCTTTTCATTCATTTATGGGACATGGGCATCATTGACTGGGCCAACATTTATTGCCCATCCCTAATTGCACTTGAGAAGGTGGTGGCGAGCCGCCTTTTCGAACTGTTGCAAGTCTATGTGCTGTAGAGACCCCCACTGACAGAGAAGGATCAGTGATGTGGTACCAAGTCAGGGAATGGTGTGTGTCCTGGTAGGGAACTTGCAGGTGGCACTGGTCTTGAAAACATTCATCGATAAATTTGAGGAATGCTCAGAAGTTTCATTGTCAGGATCTACGGGCTGAAGCTTACCATTTTTTTGGTGAAGCCAAAGTTGCACTTTTTTTAGGGTTTTCACCTCAAAATCCAGAGAGCTTCTTTGGGCCTTATCTCACCTACCATGCAGCATAAAATACTACCATGTACCTACGGTGTCTCTCACATCCACCCTTTCTTAATATCTACTGTTCCAGAACGACTTGCCAGTCAGTGGATATCTGCTGAAACGCTGGCGACCCTTATGCCCTTAAAAGCCTGGTGTGTGCCCAGATGAGCACTGGCACTCTGAAGCTGCCCAACTCATTGACGGACAGAGTTGGAACATGGTGGTAAGGGGGATGATGGCACTCTGTTCCTCTGATAGGGATCTGGAGATCCTGGTGGACAGGATGGTGCAGATGAGAGGTGCCCAGAAAAAAATGGCAGTGGAGGTCACAGCAGCAGACCCTGCCAGTTTGGCCAGTGGTCAGAGCTGTCTCCAAGATACAGAGGAACATCCATCAGTGATACATCCATCAGTGTACATTGATACAGTGTACAGTGATACATCCATCAGTGTAGATTATACAGTGCACAGTGATACATCCATCAGTGATACATCCATCAGTGTACAGTGATACATCCATCAGTATACATTGATACGGTGTACAGTGATACATCCATCAGTGTAGATTATACAGTGTACAGTGATACATCCATCAGTGATACATCCATCAGTGATACGTCCATCAGTGTAGAAAGAAGGTCAATGATCTTTTCTAAGATAACACGGTGTAGAACTGGATGAACACAGCAGGCCAAGCAGCATCA